TGTGTGATTTATTTATAAACCACATATAACGCGCACCCCGTAGATAACGCGCACCACTAATTTTGGCAAGAAATTCACTTTTTTCATTAGATAACGCGCGCGTTGTCTATGGGATAATACGGTAATTAGATTTTTCTCTCGCTATTCATTGAAAATGTTTGCATTTATTTTTCAATTGTTTTTAAAAACACAATTGAAACGAAATACAAAATATATACCGAAAAATTGATTAGAAATGTAAAATGTTCGGTCATTTTCAGTGCACTTTTTAGGAAAATTTTTACAACAAAACTACAAACAATTTTCTATTAAATTCAATGAAAAACAATAATACTATATAAAAAGTGACATTTCAATAAATCTTTTAAATAGTAAGTAATTTAGACAATTTTTCGTTAAATAAAAAAGGTAATTGAGAGAGCCTTTTTGACTAAATGACAAAACAAAAACAATAAAGTGTTCAATTATCGTAAAATTTAGGGCTTTTAAAGCGATTGAATGTTATGTCAATGTTTTAATTTTTAAAACTTCCAAAACATTTCTCAATTTATTGTTTTGTTTACTATAGGAATATCAGTACATAAATAAAAGCATTGATAAATTGTAATTATGATCAATGATAATATACAATGATAAAAATTAAAGCAAAATATAATAGGATTGAAATATAACTTAAATGTTAAGCAAAAATAAAGCAGAGAGAGAGAGAGAGAGAGAGAGAGAGAGAGAGAGAGAGAGTTGGCGAAGGAGTGAGGAAAGAGATCATTCATGTTGTTTGACTGGAATACTGTATAATCAAAATAAAAGTTTTGTGTTTTGTATTTGTAATACAGAATCGATTGCTTTTATGATCCAAAAAAGTATTGATAACAAACTCCGGAATTCAAAGCACATCTCAATCCAATTGTTCATTAATTTCATGCTATCGTTCACAAAGTGTTGTCTTTTATATCAATATTACCATCTATTCCTCTCTCTCTCTCTCTCTCTCTCTCCAAGTCTATAAACAAACATCTATTGAAATGTTTTTTGCATTTTAAAAGTATTGCGATGTTTTATAATCACAGATAAATATACGTATATATAAATGTTTATTTCAAATACTCCTATCATTTGTCTGTAAAGTGAAACTCAATTCACAATAACGTTAAAGAATACAAATATATTCTGTGATTGAAGTGAAAGTCACTCCAAAAGAATATATTCTTAAAAAACTAATAAAAATAAAAAACTATAGAAAGAAAATTTGGATAATAAATATAAATCCAAAACTTAAAGCGTCTATCAATCAAACGGTATGTGCAGTGCATTTGAAAGCACTTTACGGTCACATAATATGTCATTCAATACACAAATACAACATTTGAAGACAAGATTTCAAATTTTGTGAGATCTTAGACACTATTTTCCTTAAATAGATATCAAGTCGTTATATTTGAGACACAGTTTCTGTTTTATCATTATTTGTTTCAATATGAGAGACAATCAGTAATAAATAAATACATTTATTTCGATTCAGACATTGGATTCATATTATCTGAGTATAATAGGAAACGTCTGAATATAATAAATATTTAGAAAATAATTTTATTACACATTACTTTATTACACTTATTTCATTCACATTTTATACTGGACTACTAGTAAATAATATTTTAATAAATTCATGTCTATTATAGCAAAATTTTGCAATAAATTCAATTCTCAAATATAATAATCAAGTAAATAAAGTATTTCTTAAAAATATGTTTTCACAATCCCTGGAGTTTTTAAATATTAATAAAAAAGTATTATTCTTGAAGTGAAATTATGCCAAAATGGAAAATGCATTATTTTCTTTAAATTATTAAACAATATCAACATTAAATCATAAAACATATAAATAAATCATGTGATATGTCATATATGACACAATATTTCCCTGGTATAAGAGACTCGGGTCATACAATACGGGCGGTTATTGGGGGCATATTTATTACCCCAATATTTTTTGTACAGTATATATCCGGAAAATATTGTGTGTATTTATATAATAATATTAATAAGATTTTAAGCACTCATTCAAAATACTCTCGAAGAAAACATAGCAATAAATTATAGACAAAAACACTAGAATTAAGGCAATAATAGACATAAATATTACGTGAAATAAATGTTTGCAACATTAGATTGATTTATACGATTGTGTGCATAAACTGATCATTTCTAACGATATAATATCACATGTATTTTATCAATGAATTACAGAAAAATAGATTTCTTTTTATAATAATCGATAGAAAATAGAAAAATAATAAGAAAAATATGTCATTTGATTTATAGAGAATCGCATTATAAGTATACTGGATATACAGATATGATGGTAAAAAACTAAACATACATTTCACGAATTCATATGAAATATTCTCACCATATGTCTATTATAATAATAAACTACCATGTCCCATGATCAAATAGTTTACTTTCATTTTTACAAAAATAACTCTTTCTATATACATGTATCTATTAAAAAGTAAAATTAATTATTGAACTATGTAAATTGATGCACTTAACATGATAAAATCTGAATGTAAACCTAATTATATTGATTACGAGTGGAGAGTATACAAAACGTGGTAAAGTTTATACACATTATTGCCTTAAAGACTATTATTAATAAGTAAATCGTGAGAACTATTAAATGGATTGCTTTTCATCGCATCAATGGATACAATGATTGATTGAATACTCAAATTGAAGTCTAGTTTCCGTTTTGTTTGACATTCAATATCCAAAAATATCTAAAGAGAAGATTCATTTGTTTTTGTTGTTTACTCTTCACTTGTAATGAATATTTAATTAATAGTTATTGTATTTCTTCCACACATTTAAAAGTTGTCATTAATTTTCAATATTGCATTTGAAGTCATTTTAAATATACATTTAAACAACAGAATGATTGATTGATTTACATATAAAAAGACAATATAAATGCAAAATGTGGTCTCAAATTGTCGCTAAATAAATACATTTAGGAAATGAATTTATTGATTGTATTTGCGTTAAAAACACATAAAACTCTAATAAAACCCAATGAATGAATGGATGAGAAAATAGTGTCAGAAATGGAGATAAAATCATAATTTATGATTAATTTGACAATAAGTATAGCATTTACTGGTATTATATATACGACGAAAGAGACAAAAAACCAGAAACGAGTAATCAATTGCTGTAATAATAACTATTATTTCGCGCAACACATTAAATAACAATTAATTGTTTGACTCGCGTTTTGAGGCCCAAAATATGTGACACAAAAAGCAACACAAAAAACACCCAAAAATCAAGAGTGGATTAATTGAAACATATAATCGGATCCATGGCTTACCTGAACTCTAGAGGCGTCGTTTGAGGAGGACTTCTTGAATTCAGTGGTGCCGTAATTGTGGTCTCCGTTGCGGGACTTGTTTCCCGAAGAGGACGACTTCGACATCTCGTTGTGAAAGAGTATGCGAGCGATGAGTCCGTATAGTATACACGACATGATCAATGGGAACACATAGAAGATGATCATATCCGCCATATAATAGCCCTTATAAAACTTGCGCGACGTCGAGAAGATACAGGTCTCGACGTCTTCGTGGCCCTTATAGTAGATCTTCTGGGTTTTGGTGAGGAAAAGCCACGGACCGCAGTAGAGTAGGGCGAACAGCCAAACGCCCATGATGATCCGTTTGGCCCGGTGTACGGTACAGATCTTCTGGGCCTTCATCGGGTGACAGATGGCTATATAGCGCTCGACAGTGAACGCCGTGATCGACAGCGACGAGGCATTGATGCCGAAGTACTGGAAGAATATGAAGAGAGCGCATCCAACACTGCCCCAGATCCATTTGTCGCCCAATACATAGTAGGCGATGATCTCGTTGGGCACCGATGCCATCAGCACCAGTAGGTCGGCGATCGATAGCGAGACCAAATAGCAGTTGGTCGGTGTCTTCATGCCTCGCGACTTGAATACCACAATCACTACCATTATGTTACCCAAAACGCCTGGTTTCCGGTGACCCACAGGTAAATTGTAATCATGTTTTAGATTCATTAGTGAGACATTTAATGCAATTTTTACTTATAGTGTACTTAATCTATTGGGAAATGCAAATCAATACTACTACAAATACTATTACAAAAAATATAAGCTTAATAAAATATCTAAATATACATTTTAATTATTTTTAAATCAATTAACAGATTAACAATATCCTGATTGATGCTAATCTAGATGCTTTTAAAAAGTTTTATGTAATTAAATTTAATCATCAAAATGTTTAGTTAATAAAAAATAAAGTCTGATGAAAGGGAAAAATTTTAATCATTGTATAGTTAACAGTAATTAAAGTCTTTTGTTTTACAGTAATGGATAACAAGAAAAATAATAAATAATTTAATATAAAAATATTATAATTTGATAATTGAATGCTTTTATGTCTAGTATAGCGCCTAACGAGCACTTCTCATACCCATTATTTGGGACATTATATAACCACTCGTTTTAATGCATATAATTATATAAACAGTCTATGAATAATAAATACTCATTAAAAATGTTATACAAATTCTTGTTACCCTTAAATACATAGATATTAACGTACGAAATATAAACTAAATTATAATTTATTAATATCTTGTACTCAATATTATGTAAATATTGTATTTAAAAATACTTTTTCTTTTTCGAAGCGAAAACTTAATTATTTTCTATCCTTTTATAAACACAAACTTTCTTATCGTATAATATATTAAATTATACTAAATATAAAACAAATATAATTATAATTATAATTACAAGCATAAATAATCTATCATATAGTAAAATAAGTAACAAAACTATATAAAGTAGTGTACAGTACATACCGACTATGAGAATAATGCCTTGAAATATGGTGCCAATGATGGTATAGGGAAGGGAGTAGTACTGGGGGTCCAAATGATATATAGTGGGCGACGGGACCGTCGGGTTATTATATTCACTGGTATTTAAACACAGAGTATAGTTAAGCATCGATGACGTGATGTTATCGGACAGCGATGTCGGGTCGCAATCCACAGCCGAATCACTTAAGTTAAACAAATCGGTCGACTCATCCATGGCTGCGACTGTAGTCGACTGTCTCTCTATGCGATGACAATCACTTTGGATGACAGGACCGAAAGATTATATTATTTTGTGTATTATTTAATTTGATTTTCTTTCTCTCGTTTTTATATTTGCTATATTTAAACACAAGTGAAATACTTTTCACTAGTTTTTTATTTCTTCTCAACAAATAATAACTAAACCGTCGAAAACGTAAAATCTATTTATTTTTACGTCAAAACACTTTTCCATCACTTTTTCTCATATGAGATGTGTTTTTAAGAGTTTGTGTCCAGACTTTTTGATGTCCTTATTATATATACAGTCTATATATTGTCGGCTAAAACGAAATACTATTTCACTTTAAGTATTTGTTTCGTAATCGAGTTGAACGTTGAAAACCATTTTTTATTTATCGTCTATACATTATATAATAAACGATATATATTTGGGATCTATATATAGAGAACATATACAATATATATAACTCTTTATTTTGCACTCAATTGTATCCCAATGTGTGCCGAAAAACGACAAACTCTATAATGTTTGATATTTTCGATGTGTTTTGTCTCATTGTTTATGAAATAAAACTTTTATTTTGTTTGATTTTCATCCGAAACACATTCGCCACTCTTTTAACACCACTTTTTTCAAAGCCATCCGTTTTGTCGATGTTTTCTGAATGACATAACACTTGATGTCTCAAAATCTATTGATGGAAGACATGAAATGAAAGTATAGTTAGAAAAATCATTAATGAAAAACAAGAGAAAAATATTGTGTGAAAAAATAACTGCTGTATATTATACAGCATAGGGTGTATATAATGGTGATAAAAGAGGCAAACAATATGTCACAAAAATTTTGTCACCATTTATGACATTTATATCCTTCAAATCCAATATCGTGTGTCTCATTGAAACGTATAATTTGTTTGAAACTTTATTTGTTTGCTTTTTAGTCATTTAATAAGTTTTTTGGGTTTTGTTTTTTGTTCGCTAGACTTTGTCTATGGTTTAGCATTAAGTTTTGCTAAAAGTTTTTCTATATGTTATTAAACGCAAAACTCAAAGTTTTCTCAATGATTGAAATGTACATAATATGTGCAAAGATTATCTACAGTATAAGTCGATAACAAAATACAGTATTAATATAGCAAAAAACAAAACAACAATAACAACACGAATAGTCGACAAATATTTGTATTTGTATTGAAAACAACAAAATATTGTGCCGAAGAATAAACTCGTGGATCAGATCTACTGAAAGGTTGTCTATTGTTTTGCGTGTGTTTTGTCGCTATTCATACAAAACAGTGAATGTTTGTGTCTGAAAGACATCCTATTTGTCTCATAGATGTGAACACAAATCAACAAATATTCCCAAAAATAGACGCTTTATTAATCTCGTTGTCTTTTCTATGATTTTTCTGATGTTTGTTTCAAAATAATTACATAAAACTACTTATAATGAGATGTTTTTAGATGTTATTTCATTATATTTTTCTATTCTAGCCATGCATTGGATATTTAATTGACATTTCATTTATTAAAAGTTAAATGAATGGCTTTATATCTATTATAAATTGGTTTAATGAACAAAATATTCTCGGCAGACATTAATACAAAGAAATGTGAATAAATTAGTAAATATATAATTAAAATATTTAAAACATTCCCAATTCCCGGAATGAAACAAAAGCACATCTCATTGAATAACAATAAATGTATGATAAAAATAAAATATAAAGTTAATTAGTTTTTAAAGCTTTTAAGACTTGAAATTATAATACAAATAATAGTAAGTTATGAACGTTTTCTGTCGTCTAATTTTTATAAATATTAATTACAATAAATGAAAATTGAAATGAAATGTGAGAGAGAAATGGATTTTATTATTTATCTCACGGAAAATAGTGAACACCTCTTTAATCTTAGGACTAAAATTACACAAAAAACTTGTTTTTCAAGAGAGAGAGAGAGAGAGAGAGAGAGAGAGAGAG